TAGTTAGTACTTGCAAAATATAATATGATATAATATCATATTTGTGAAATTTTATATACGTATTTACTTTGATATAATACTTCTTAAAAGAGGTTGAATCTTTAGAAAGTGCCTGCGATATTATGAAGAATATATTAAGTGATAATCATGCTGACATTCCTTATGCGTTAATTTATTTTGTCGAAAATAAATTAAATTATGATGGTTCAGAATCCTTGATTGCTCGTCTGATTACTACAACCTTTGATGAAGATGGTAAAAAGGAAAGACATTTTCCCGATTATTTTCCTGAAACCCACGAAATAATTGATTTAACCAATGATTTTGATATTGGCTATGATAATTATATAAATCTAAAACGAGTTTCTGCAAATTATTCATTCTTAAAATGTGATTCTTGGCCATTATACCTTGTAATAAAACACGGTGGTCATGTAAAAGTTATTTTGAAAGATGGAAGTCAAGCTGTACTCTTCTTGACAAAAATTCCACTTGGAGAAGAGAAAGTTTTGCCTGTTGTATTGGTTTGTGGTGTTAATCGGCGTCGCGCGCTTGATGAACCGTATATGGAATTTTTACAAGTATGCAAAGAGCTGTATAGTTAATCTTTAGTTTTGTTATATATTCATTAAATCTGTTATAATTTGCTAGCTAGTCACGAATCAATTGAATACATATTTGCTGCATGGGAAAAAAATAGAAGAAGAAAAATTGAGATCTAAATTATTGGCTGATTTAAACTATCAAAAAGTCATTTTTTTTCAAGGCATTAGCCATGAACTACAAAGTAATTTGTATTATAAACTGTTCTTTTAGAAATTATTGCAAATACAGACTACATATAGACTCAACATTTTTGTTTTTTTTTTTTTTTTAATAAAAATAATTAAAAAAAATATTGAAAAAAAAAAATAAAAATTAAATAAATATTTTTTTTTTTTTTTTTTTTTTTTTTTACCAATGCCAGAACCATTAACTTTAATGCTTTCACCACTTGATGAAGTAATTAATGCATGTCCACAAGAATCGTCAATAATGCCGCATCTTCAAACTATACGACGTAACGCTCACCGATTACTTAAACTTATTAATGTTTTATTACAAGTAAGTTGTATATATCGCATTTTTTAAT